ACTTTGTATCGACATAGAAATATGCGGTATGAATTGATTAATTAGGGTTAATATGCGCTCGAAAGAGGGTATTAGCTAAAACAGGAGAATCGGGTCTAACTATCGCATTTTGATAATATGCATCGGTATATAATTGGTTCGAGACCAATGAAACAATAGGTTAAGGGACATCATAAATTCCAACCACACTTTTCCCTCCGAAATTTGCCAAGACACCTTTATTTTCTTATTTTGTAGAATTGTTAGTTTTTATATCATATCTTTAAATCTGTGTGTTTCGTTTTGTCGTTAGAATTAAAATAGATTAAAGTTGTGTAATCCAAAGTATACATTCCTCGTGGGATCGACAATCCGGACTCTTAAGGTTCACTTTATTACTTGAATGCGACCCGTGTGCTTGCGGTACGATTTTCAGCGAACAGTTACTTTGCTTTTTTAACTAAAAACGTTAGTATAGAGATTTTATTTGCTGAAATTGGATGGAAGAATTGAGACCAGCCGACGGGGGCTTTTTCAAATTTTTATCCGTAAAAAGTGAATTCAAGTGCGGGAAAATGGGCACCATAAGTTGAAGTGGGTCGGTAAAAGTTTCGGGGCCTCCAAATTCCAATAATTTAAAGGGAAAATTGCAGCAGCAATCCCTAACTTTTTCAATTTTTGTAGATTTTATCTTAGCCTTCATTTTGTGCGAACGGAGGTCTCTAACATTTCATAAATATGCAGCTGAAGTCCAAATTGATCTAATTTGACCGGTTGACAGAGAAAGTCAAATTTTGATTAATTTTGACCAAATCGTAAAGGGTAAAATGATACTTTACATTTTGCCTAATATAAAATAAGTTAAATAAATAAAGACCAGAAATAAAAATAAATTTATAAACCTACCCACCCAAATCAAAACCAAATCGAACCCACACAACCATAGCCGCTAGTGCCACTGTCCACTGGCTTCTTTTCAAAAGTTGGGAACCAATGGTGGAATTATTTGCTTTGTAGGTATATTAACAAGTCCATAACACCAACAGAAGAGTACGAAATTTTAAGCAGTGGTGAGAGAGTATCGGCAAATTCATGGGGATTTCCCATTATTAACAGCTAAAATTGAACAATTCTTGGGCAATTTCTTAGCACATTATTTAGCAACCGATGCCGATGATTGGAGATGATGATTTCGAGAAGTCCCTACTATAACATCAGTTGCACAGTAAGAATTGGCCTTTCGAACAATAATTTTCCGTACTAATAAGCCTCAACAGATCTTTGGCTTTAGATCCACCTGTAGCATCTCTGACTTAAAATTTTGATCGTTCGGTCTTAGATATAAATTTTTTTATCTTATTCTTGCAAGTGGATACAATAGAGATAAGAAAATCTGCAAAAGCAATAAATGGAAAATAAATTCATATGGGCTTTGACTGCTTGAGAGATTAGATCAACAATCAAAGTTCAAATTTATATTGATCAACTGT